AATACCAGCAGTCAACAAAAGAATCTACGACAATGCACTATGCATAGGTGTAGGTGCTCAAGTACTATTGAGCCAAGACCTGCTTAAATGACCCTTGTGAAACTAGGAGTAGACGGACCGTCGTTCATCGTCAAATTCGGTTTGCAGTTGTTGTTGTCATCGTCAAATAAGGTATGAGGATCAAGGAAAGAGTACGCTGAAGTATCTTCGAAAAGCTACGCATTAGTTTACGTATTCCAGCGTAAAACTTTGCATTTCGGTTTTGCAATATGTAGTAAAAAATTAACACTGGAAAATTTCGCTCCGCTGCTGAGAATCATTGGCCTGTAAGAAAGACACATGACTACAAACACCAGTGACGGATTCATGGTCATTATCAGGATTTATATCAAGGTGTCAAATCTCACCATCGTGCCGCAGACCCCTCTCGACAGAAAATAAATTAGTCGATTAAGCAACGACAAATTAAAGTAAACGTCATACCGTTTCGACGAACTCAGCTTCAGACAGCTGGGTTTGATAGAAAAGTCCGGCATGTTCAAGGAGTGCGATCAGCTTGTTCTGCTTGTGCAGATTCTCTTCAAAATCCTCTATGTAGTTCTTTATCTTCGAATGCGCCTTACCCAACTCTCGCATCGCCTGCAAACCATCTTCTCGATCTGAAAGTAAAAACTGTACAACAATAGAAAATACAACAATTCTATTTTAGACTATGAGCCATACTGTGTCATTACAATCATACATGTGTGCCATCATAGGTTAAGGATATATTTCTAAGCAATTGTAAGTCTGTCAGTAGAAACTTTTAAAGTCCGGAGTTGCCAGTCGAGGCAGTCAGTTGAGTGAATGGGTTTTCACAGGTAAACCTGATGAATCAGGACATTATGCAAGCATGTAAGCAGTCATGTACAATCAGAAAACTAACGGCTTCTGCAACACAAATGCGGCACTCACACTGTACCTTCTGAATCATTTTTGCATGGCACCAACAAATCCTAAAATCCATGAGTAAAACCCCGTAGAAGGTGCTGTTCCAGCAGAATCACTGTCCCTATGCTGTATATAAGAACCAGTATGCCTAGCGCCGAAGACGTTGAAATTCTACCGTTTAAACGGATTCACGAAAACAGTCATTTTTAAGAGAACAAATTTAGAACGCTTCTCCAATATGCGTATCATTCTTATGCAGGGGTCATGCAAATCTTCTCCTAGTTTAGTATATGTCAATCGAATGTCCATCATGAGATTAAGTTCTATATTGACAAGCTTCTGGTTAGATTTCTGAAGCCAGATCATTGCTAAAGCAATTTACCTGCAGGCTATAGCGTTAAAGCAACTACAGCTGCTTCGGTGTTCAAGCATCACAGTAATTGAAGCGGTCGATTTTTCAGTCATTTAACAAGTTTAAATAATGCAACAAAAGCATTACCCGTATTTCATTCATTTTACACGCGCACTTCCGTTACACTACAACTATAACTTCCGCTAAACGAATGGACAGTGGAAAATGAATAAAGATGAAATACAGATTTGCATACAATGGCAAAACTTCAGCTATTGGTTTCAGCGTTCGAGCATAAATTTAAGCATGAGTAACTGTAGATGAATGTTTTTAGGTAAGGCAGGCATAAATTCAAACTCACTTTTCAGATTTGCTTTGAAATCAGGATCTGCGTTGAAAGGAACTGACGGCAAAAGGCTCTGCTTTGTATCCAGCTCAGCTGCTGTTGTCTGATAGTCATCGATGGTTCGCGACAAAACTTCGACCTGAAATTGAGGGGCTACCAAGTGAGAACAAAACTAGGCATAATAGTCACACACTACCTTAAAGTCCAGCATCTGATTCGTTCCGGACCCGTTGGCGTAATCTGTCGCTCCGCTGAGCTGAGACCGGTCTAAACATCCAAACTGAAACCGAAACCGCGTAAAAATCGAAATTTATCACAAACGCCTTATTCGATTTTACTACAATTTTTCTACTGTCTATACGTTGCCTGTTTTCCTCCACAGTCACAATCCGTTTTGAGTAACAGGCCCGCAGATTAAAATATTTTTTTCCAACGACAGCGGTTTTTCGCCGTTATACAGCTAATTTTCTTGAGTAGATTAAATAGTACGTCAGCGCAAGATACTTAGTGGCTTGTTCTTGGGACATCTTCCTTGTGGCTCTAAAAATAGGGTCGCTTTGCCAGTCGTTTCTAACCGTATAATCAAATTTCTGCAATTGTTATCTCTCGATTTGACAAAGGAGTGGCTCACAATCTAGGTCTCTTTGGTCGCCATTTCCTGAATCATTTAGCCTCCTATCACATTAACACTTATCGAAAACCTTATTCGCAAAGCATGCATTTTGCGTCGCACCCTTTCGGTCAACATTCAGAACTTGTAGTATCTGGTGAGAGTAGGTGCATCTACTTGAAGATAGCAACAATACAAATCACCTATGACTTATATCTGAAAAAACTCATCAGTAAAAATTAACTTGCCTAAAATAGCCCTCCATTCGTCGATCAATTTTTTGTCAAATACCGATCGCTCTTCCCATATTTTGAACAGCCTATCGACTTGGTCGCGAATTTCATCTGACCTGAATTTCGTCTGATGCATTTTACGAACAATTTCCGGTCTAACAGGGCATCAAATGCAAACCTGGCAAGAATCACCACTTCCCTGATTGCGGCGCTGAAGCACATCCGAAATCCATCCGATCGTTTGCGTCGTTCTTTCTGGCAGACGTCGTTGACTAGAAACAATAGCGAAAGCCGGTTCTTCTGGGTAGCTAAAATTGAACATATTTCGGACTGGATAAAAGAACACATACAAGTCCTGGAATTGTTTGTTTTGCATTTTTTAAATTTCATAACTGATAGACTCACACGATGGATTAATATTCCGCTAATTTATGAACATAAATTTATTGAATGAAAATTTTTCCTAAGATGAAAACTCTCAAACTGAAACTCTCAAATGTCTATTAATTTTTAAGTGAAAATTTTTGATTAACTTCCAATACCTAGAAAAATCATCCAGTATTTTTCCACAAACTGTGGAACACGACATGTGCTAAATACCTTGACCTCCTTAAATGCCCCCAGATAATTAGAAACGAAGAGGCGCAATATGCCGTGAGATCTGGTCATGGAGGAATCAAGCGTTACTCATGCTAGAATTTGACTTTCTTGAATTGCTGCATTTTGCAAAAGGTTAAGAAACCTCCGTGCTTCTTTTAGTTATTTGCATTTGGATTCTGTCCCAAGTGCAAACCAATCTTTCCGCCAGGCTTGGTTTCCATTTTGTCGATAAGTCCAGTCCCGCTATAGTCAGTTCTTCTCTGATCATATCAGTCCTGACGTTTTTGACGTCTCTCCGCCTTTTCGGCATGGGTAAGGCACACTAAGAATCATAATGTTGATCAGTGGCTATCGTTCCGCAATAGTGAATGATCGAAGGGCACAAGTATTAGATATTTAACAAAAAATTATTAAATAGAAAACGCTAGAATACTATGCACTCATTGGAGTATCACTAATAGTATTTTTTAACGCTCATTATCTAATGTAAAGCACTGTTAAATCTAAAACTGGCATTGTACACCTGTTACTATAGTTATATCGTAAAGACTCTAAAGTAGAGAATGATCTACCTTCAAAGCTGCTAGTTGTAGGATGCAGAAAGCTGATGCTTTGTAGCAAAAATTTCGATATAGTGAAAATACAGTGGACATCCAAACGATTCGATTACACTGGAAAACTGACGGAAGTGAATAAAACCTCGCATTTTCCATGTGGTGCATACCGTTGTACAACACTGGCAATTCACATTCGTCACTCATTAAACTGATATTCGAAGAAGGTTGATTTTCCGTTGATTTAATGAACATAATGTTGTTATATTGAAAAGAAGGTACAAATCTGAATTATTTCTTGTAGCCAAATTTCATGTCTACATGTAGGTGCATTCAGATTTTAAAGTATCATATTTTCGTTCTCTGGAGGCAGCTCTGCAATGCCAATACCTTGATATTCGACAACCTTCAATACATATTGGCTATTGGAAATCAGCAAATGAGGAGAAATAAAAGAACTGACTTCATTTTGGTTTTGCATAAAGCTTAGTTAACAGTTAACTGTTAAATTAGTTAACTGACCACGAAATAGGCAAAAGGTGTGGATGAGAAAGATCTAAATTGGAAACAGCTGTCTAAAAGAAGACAAAATATTGAAAAATGTTATAAAGGTATCATAATCTTGCACATATCAGCGCTACACGCAATTCGAAGTTATGACATTCGCCATGTACATGTAGATGTCCTCCTTCTCTCCCCCCATCTCACTACGATTCTTTGGACAATTTTAAAATCCTCAAAAGTACTTCGATGCCAATACGTATCTCTGAGATTCAGCTGATATCCATAACAAGAAACACTCACCTTAAACAAGGCTTTCAAAACGATTCTTGTGGAATGGTACGTTTACGATGGTACAGTCAGTGACAAAGAGATCAACTTCCGACAGTGGAGTTGACGAGTCCGAATCCAGAAAAATACATTTGGATTAACCGCAAATTCCCTTGAGCAAAAGGAATCAACCCCACTCTGCCTCGGTGCAACGATGTGAGAAACGGGCATCTAGTGCCCGACATGCGAACAACAGGGGCAACGTGATGTTACGGTGTGATCCTACCAGAATGGGTGAGAAATACGGCCATATTTTCTGACTGGAAAGCTTCATAGGGCTGCAACTCGAAATGACCTCTTCGACATGATAATAAGCAAGTGTAACTCCTGCTGTTACAGTATACCTACTGTTATACAGAATGTCTATCTTTCACCAATCCATAACTTAAGATTTTTACGACTAAAAAGAAACAGTAGGCTTTAAAATTTAAAACTTATGCCAAGTCATCGCGAGCAGAATAATTACCAGCACGGTGGACCAATTACCAGGGTTTAGCAAATGCTGCGAATTCTCAACAGCCTACATGGCAATCTACACGGAGTGCAATCTTAATTTCATCCACAAATTTTCTTAGAAATGAATTTACCCCGTACTGCTTCAGATAGGGGTTACTCAGTCGATAGAGCGCTGTTCTCATAACACACGGTTTTCGGGTTGGAGCCTCGGCGAAGGTTACTAACCTTCCTTCATTCCGATGTACATAAACGAGTACCGCTCTCTAGGAAAGAAACAGGAAACTACACACAATCCTTGTCACAAAAAGGCTGTCGTCCCTGTCACTAAAAAATAACCCACTCTTGGCTGATGGCATGGAAATGGAGATCAACCTCCCATCAGCAACTTCATGAAAAGAAGGGTGTAAGAAATGGCCTCATCAGAAAAGTGTAAGGAAAACCGATATTCCAACGGCTACAAATATTCCTTCCTTTTCTACACGGTAGGCTGCGAGACCCATCATCAACGTCGAAACGGTCAGCTAAAGATCAATAGCAGTTGCATTATAATAGGACCCGCAAAGAAATGTGCTATGACAAATCTAATCACGAGAAGAATGCATTTCGTTGAACCTCACCTATTTCTAACAGCCTGATGAAGACGAACAGTGAGCAATTAGGCACGATGTCGTCTTTCTTGACAAAGGATAACTGTTGACTCGATTTTTGAGGGTAGACACAAACAACAGAGAAACATTACAGTAATCGAAATGAAACGTTGGGAATGAAACGTGCAGCCCCGCGAATTAGGTTCATTCCACACAAATACTACATAAGTCTAGATTTGAATCACATGACAGCACACAGACAAACAAAAGTTAAAATACATAACAACAGAAGCCATCATTAAATATTTCGTGATAAACTGCAAGTTTTCGATACCGCCGATAAGATAGCAATCTCCTGTCTATCCTTCGGATTTGAAAAAGTTAAACAGATAAAACAGAATCCTGATGGACAGCATAACTAATTCACTAACGACACGTAATGCTTATCGCACACTAGCACTCTTATAATTGACGACTACACTATAATGCAAATAGATGGACAGGCAGACTGATGAATGAATGAGTAAGCGAATGAACGACCAAAGGAACGAATGAATGCGCAAGTTTTCTGATGCCATTACTAGCAACGCCGAAAACTACATACTTCCTTTATTTAGTATATCAACCGATATTTCCAAATAACTGACATCAGTCATAATCAAAAATAAAATTGTCGATCTTGGTTGATGAGGAACGAATGCAAAATTGGTTGAAACGTTGGACTGGTGTTAAATAAAGAATTCTCCTTCCTTCTTGTACTGCTAACCGTGGAATCTGAAGACGAACCTGCTCTAAGCCGTCCTCAGTACGGCATCGGTATAAGTTTAAGAAGCGATGAGAACAGATGAGAGAATAAATGAATGAATGACAGACGGCGGGACTGAGTGATTAGCTGATTATCTGAGCAAAGACCAGAATTCCTCAGTGCAACAATTTACCTTGCCCAATCAACTGACGAATACCTTGCGGAAAAGCCCAAATCCTTGAGCATATTGCACTGGCTACTGCCTTGACTGTGGTTCTTCCCCTTAAAGATAAGTCATAGATTTAGTCTTATATTTTCTGCCTGGTGTCACTATACTACAATACCTCTGTCTGACAACTAAAACAACAATTTTTATCAGCGAAGGGGCAGATATACCGAAAATGTTGCAGGATTTGGAGGTTGAAAAAATTTCACGCTGGATCTCTGAAGCAGTCTTGCATTCCCATGATTTACATAATTTTCGCAAGCTCAGACGGCAAGGTCGAGTCCGAAAGAACTATCAGTTATTAGCTATCAGAATGGTGGCTACCAGAACAATCCTATTTCGACCATCAACAGACACCGGGAAACAAGTAAATAATAAACGTGCAAAATGTGAAAGCTGATTTAAGCATGTCCAGCGTCTTGCCACACCTTCACTGGTAATTTCACTATATTGTCATACAATAACTATACTCCTGCGGTTAAGTACTGGCCACTTATTAGCGTAATTAAAATATTAGTTTGATTAGGATACTAGATTACATTTTTAACGCAAGAATTGATATCCTAATACAAAATAAGCTACACCCACTTCCATCCTGATACAAAGAAAAATAAAGTTTGTAACCGTTGGCATATTTGTGTCTCCCTTACACTTTCAG